AAACCCTATACAGGGTCGCTTTGGGTTGGAACCAACTTGATGGCACTTAACAACAACAACAACTAAGGCCCAGGAAGGACCAGTCCCTAGAGAAGGACATCATGCTTGGTAAAGTGGAAGGTCAGTAAAAAAGAGGAAGATGCTCAACAAGATGGAGTAGAGGGCAGCAGAAAAGGGGGATATCATCAATGAGATGGATTGATATAGTAGCTGCAGCAGTAACTCAAACGTAACAAGGATTATGAAGATGATGCTGGATCGGGAAGTGTTTCATTCTGTTGTACATAGGGTTGCTATGAGTAGGAACTTACTCCAGAACACCTACTGTTACCACGACCAAGGCCCTGGGGAGTACGTACTCTTCGATGGTCAGGAACAGAAAAGCCAGAGCACAGAGACTGAGGGCCAGTTCAGCTGGAGGAGGTCATGTTGATACAAATCATGGCCTTTGTAAGTAGGCATTTGGATTGTATTCTAAACCAGGAGACATTTACAAGCAAAAGAATTATTTTTAAAGATTTTGCTGCTGTGTGGGCAATGACTTGCAGAGAACCAAAGTGGAAGCCTGTGACAGAACTAGAACCAAAATTCTAGTGTTCCAATTTCAAGTAAGGTTTGAATACTGTGGAAGCCTTTTCTATGCACCAGGCTTTTAAATGCTGATTGTGAATAAACCTGCCTTTGTTTTCACAAATGTCACCTACTAATGCGCAAGGTGAAGAAACAGCATGTTACAGTTCAAAGATCTATGCAGTCAGAGCTGATAAAAACCTAGCAGACTGCCTGTAGCCTTCAAACCCCTATAAGCCTGGGTGAGAATCATTTGTACTGTATTCAGAACAACGGCAGTCGGGTTGTCTATTTATCTTGAGCAATAAAACCAGAAGCTTTCTTCCTCAATCTTACCCACCGTGAGGTTCAAATTAGCAAATCGATTGGGAATGCCTTCGTTACACAAGCCAATGACCCTCCGACGCACCACCTGGAAGAGTGGGCAGGGTGACGGGGCGGGACTTCCGGGTCGGAGCCCGGCCCGCCTTCGCTTCCTTCGCACCTGCGGCCCTGGGATTCGGTAGATCTGAATCCCGTGCTCCTTCCTTCTGCTTCCGGGTCGGAGCCATGGCGGTGGCAAATTCAAGCCCTGTCAACCCCGTGGTGTTCTTCGATGTCAGCATTGGCGGCCAGGTAAGATATCGGCAGCCACCCAGCCCTACGCCGAAGGGGAACTCCGCAGGGCTGGGCAGACAGAACTCACAAACCTAAAGATAGCGGACTGGGGAAGCTAGGAAGTGAAATTGAGCCACAACCTACTGGCGTGTTTGGCGGCGGGAAAGGGAGGAGGAGGATTCTCGCCGGTTCTAGGTCCTCTCTTGTGGAGGGATTGTGCGGAAAGGAAGGTTAGGCTGTGGAGGCGGAGGTGGGAGATTCCGAGCGGTACGGGAGGATGGGGCAGCCTTTCTTGCTCCCTGCGCCATAGGCCTTTGCGGGCTTGCACTGAGCTTTCTGGCTGTTTCCCGCTGGTTGCAGGAAGTTGGCCGCATGAAGATCGAGCTCTTTGCAGACGTTGTGCCTAAAACAGCCGAGAACTTTAGGTAAGGAGATACACCAGCTCTGTCGGATTCTCCGGGCTCCAGTCAAGTCTGCGGCATCGCTGTCTGTCCGGCGGTCTTTGTCCACTCACTGCTTGAGAGGTCTGAATCCTCCGGGTATTGCTTTGTGTTAATCTTGACCGTTTTTGATTGTTGATATGTGTGACTGGGTGTTTGGACTGTTGATGTGCCCTCCCCTCCCGCGATTAGAGGCGCTCACAGCTATGGTGTTCTGGTGACTGAGTCGTTCATTCTTCCCTTTCAGGCAGTTCTGCACGGGAGAATTCAGGTCAGTCTCCGTCATGGTTGACTTCGTTCTCTGATTCTGAAGGGTGTCCTGAGGCTGCAGTAAGGTCTTGGGGAACCACCAGTAGGTTCTCAGTGCTTACTGCTGAAACTAAGATAGGTTACACTCCAAGGGTGTAGCTTCTGTTTCTTTTCATTCCTTTTTCTCTTAGTTGTCTTTTAAAAAGCCCCTTTGTTTTTGTTTTTTTGTTTGTTTTTTTGGTTGGGGGGATATTATACTAGAAAGACCTCTGGTTGCCTATTTTCATTTCAAATCTCTTTTTGCTTATAGAAAGGATGGGGTTCCAATAGGATACAAAGGAAGCACCTTCCACAGGTAAGCCTTTGGTAAACCTTCCTGGGACCTTTCAAGATTACTTCTTTGGAGGATTAGACTAAAATCAGAGGAAAAAAGCCCCAGAGGCTATGTTTTAGATCTTGGAAAGAAATGTTTTTATGGACTAAGAAACTGATTTAAAGATTTATTAAATGTTTTAACTCTGATTATTGTTGGTGTTATGTGCTGTCAAGTCGGTTCTAACTCATAGTGATCCTGTATAGAGTTTCCGCAGAGCAGCTGGTGGGTTTGAACTGCCAACCTCATGGTTAGCAGTTCGGTGCTTATCTTATAGCACCACACCAGGACTCCATTATGCTTATGGTAGTAGTGTGCCATGGAGCCGGTTCCGACTCTGCTCAAGGTTTCTGAGGCTGTAAATCTTTATGTCAGTTCTCCCAAGGAATGGCTGGTAGTTTTGAATTGCTGACCTACTTGTAACCACTACGTTACTAGAGCTCCTCCAGTGATTCCTTTTAGTTATTTAAAATATAAATTACCTATGATTCTAATATTCTGTCTTTTTCATGACCTTGTTTGAGTGAATTCAGTTTTTTAGTATAGTTGCAGTCCTTACATGTATAAAACATTACATCCTGTTGACATTATTATCCTACAATGATCAGTTTTCCTGGGCCAACTGGAAGTAGAGTGTGACAGTGCTAGGTAGTCTGGTTTCAGTTTAGAATCTGCCTCAAAGGCCTCATTATGGTTAGTAACGATAATTAACAGTAACTATTATTTAGGGTGCTTTAAAGCCATGGTCTCTAATACTCATAACATTTCTGTGAGGTGGTAGTGTTATTTACATTTTACGGATGAGGAAACTGAGGCTAGGAAAGAGCTAAGGGCCCAGCATAGGTCTGGTAGCGGAGTACAGTGGCTCTAGAATAAGCATTGAACTGTAAATCACAAGGCCTGCGGTTTGAGCCCACCAGCTACTCCTTGGGAGAAAAATGAGGCTTTCTGCTCCCTAAAAGATGTGCAGTTTTGGAGAGTCACTGTGAGTAGAAACCAAGTTGACGGCACTTAAAAATAACAACAGGTCTTATACTGAACACGTATTATGTGTGTAGCAGACCATAGTTAGCATCTCACAAGCATTGTCTGTCATTCTTTTCCTAAAAATTTGTATCAAGTCTTTGATCTGCCATTTAGTGAAACATTTCAGGTTCTTCAGGACTTCAGTCCCTCTTAATCCTTCCTGTTCAATTACCAGCTCATGCACCTAGGTCAACTCTAACATCCTTTTATTTATGTTTGGAGTTTATGGTTAGTTTTTATCATTAATGATCATGTCAACTTACTCATTCCAGGAGAGAACAATTATTTTGCAAATCAAAGTGACTACCATGTTTTGAAATCAGTGTTTAATACTACAGTGTTTCTAAATCACTGCAATTTCTCAAAATTCTTTATTTGTTCTTCCCTCCTTTCCAGGGTCATAAAGGACTTCATGATCCAGGGTGGGGATTTTGTTAATGTAAGTTTTATATCCTTCTTATCAAAGGTCTTTAGGTTTGCTTTGGGTTGTGATTGCTACTGCCGCTGCTGTTTGTATTATAGGGACCCAGTGTTCAGGTTTGAGAACAGTTTGATGGGGCTTAGAGGATAGTAGTGGTGGGGATGGCATTTTGAGTGTTGGCTAGTACTTTACCACTAGATGACAGGCATCTACATTCTGACTGAATAACTAGCTTTTGTGGTACAAGCCTCCCTGGAAACTGGAATTTTCCAGCAGACCAAAAGATGCTTAGCTCTACAGGCCTATTTAAAATCCCATGAAACTTGCTTAGAACTCAGATGCAGTTTGTTTTCTTAAACTGGGGTGTTGTTGTTATTAAATCTGTTCCAACTCCTAGCGACCCTTTGCACAACAGAGTGAAATACTATCCAGTCCTTCACCATCCTCACAGTTGTTACGTTTGAGGTAATTGTTGCTGCCATTGTGTCAGTCCATCTCTTTGGGCTCTCTTTCTTTTTCTCTGATCCTCTGCTTTACAAAGCATGATGACCTTCTCCAGGGACTGGTCCCTCCTGACAGCATGTCCAAAGTACGAGAGAAGTCTCACCATCTTTACTTCTAAGGAGCATTCTGGCTGGATGTGTTTGTTCTTCTGGCAGGGCATAGTACTTTCAGTATTCTTCTCCAACACCGTAATTCAAATGCATCAATTCCTCTGCAGTTTTCCTTATTCATGGTCCAATTTTCCTATGTATATGAAACCATCGAAAATACCATGGCTTGAGTCAGGCACATCTTAGTCCTCAAAGTGATATCTTTGCTCTTGAATACTTTAAAGTCTTTTGCAGTGGATTTGCCCAGTGCAATTCATCATTTGATTTCTTGACTGCTGCTTCCATGAGTGTTGATTGTGGATCCAAGCAAAATAAAGTCTTTGACAACTTTAGTCTTTTCTCCATTTATCACAGTGTGAGGATTTTGTTTTCTTTACATTGAGATGCAATCCATACTGAAGGCCATATTCTTTCATTTTCAGCAAGCGCTTCAAGTTCTCTTCACTTTCAGCAAGCATGGTTGTATCATTTCCAAATTGGAGGTTGCTAATAATTCGTCCTCCAGTCCTGATGCCATGCTCTTATAATCCATTTTCTCAGATTATTTGCTCAACATACAGATTGAATTGTTGTTGTTGTTGTCAGGTTCCATTGCATTGGAATCGACTCGTAGCGACCCCATGCACAGCAGAACGAAACAGTGTCCGATCCTGGGCCAGCCTCACTACCGCTGCCACACTTGAGTCCATCAATGATGCCACCTGGCCAATCCATCTCGTTAAGAGTCTTCCTCTTTTTCTCTGACCCTCCACCTTACCCAGCATGACATCCTTCTCCAGCGACTCTTCCCTCCGGAAAATATGTCCAAAGTATGAGGGATGAAGCTTAGCCATCTTGGCCTTCAAGGTGCACTCTGGCTGCACTTCTTCCAAAACAGATCTATTGGTTCTTTTGGCAGTCCATGGCACTTTCAGTATTCTCCTCCAACACCACAACTCAAAGGCACCAATTCTTCTACGATCTTCCTTATTCACTGCCCAGCTTTCACATCCATATGAGGTTATTGAAAATACCATGGCTTGGGTCAGGCGCACCTTAGTCCTCAAGTGACATCTCTGCTCTTCAATACTTCAAAAAGTTCCTGTGCAGCAGATTTGCCCAATGCAATACGTCGTCTGATCTATTGACTGCTGCTTCATTCTTCCAAGAAGAATGAAGTCCTTGACAACTTCAATCTTTTCTCCATTGATAAGAATGTTGTTTATTGGTCCAGTGGTGAGGATTTTTATTTTCTTGACATTGAGATGCAATCCATACTGAAGGCTGTGCTCATTGATCTTCATAAGTAAACGTTTCAAGTCTAAGTATGGTGAAAGGATACAACCCAGATGTACACCTTTCCTGATTTTAAACCATTCAGTATCCCCTTATTCTGTTTGAGTGACTGCCTCTTGGTCTATTTACAGGTTCCTCTTGAGCACAATTATGTGTTCTGGAATTCCCATTCTTCTCAATGTAGTTATCCATAGTTTGTTATGATTCACACAGTTGAATGCTTTTGCATAGTCAGTAAAGCACAAGTGAACATCTGGTATTCTCTTCTTTCAGCCAATATCCATCTGACGTCAGTAATGATAGCCTAGGTACACACCCTTTTCTGAATCTGGCTTGAATTTCTGCCAGCTCCTTTTTAATATACTGCTGTAACCATTTTTCAATCATCTTCAGCAAAATTTTACTTTCATGTAGTGTTAATGATGTTTTATATTTTCTGTATTTAATTATGTCACCTTTCTTTGGAATATGCACAAATATGAATTGCTTCCAATCAGTTGGCCAGGTAGCTGTCTTCCAAATTTCGTGGCATATTAGATGAATGAACTCCTCAAGTGCTTTATCAGTTTGCTGAAACTTTTCAATTTGTATTCCATCAAATCCTGGGCCGATTTCCACCAATGTATCAGTGTAGCTTAGCGTTCTTCAGTACCATCCATTCTTGGTCATATTTCATTACTCATGAACTTTTTAGTTCTTTCCTAGCCTATATAGGGTTGAACAGCCTGGTAGGTTGTAGGGTAAGTCAGGCTTCCAGATGTGTTGTGTTTCATCAGCATGGTGTTGAAATTTTGGAATTTTGTTTTTTCTGTAATGGAAGATGGGAGTACACTAGAGCAGGGTTTCCTTTGTAGTGTCAGTTGGCTAAAATCAAGTAACTACACCCTTTAGAGACAGCACTTCCTTAACACTTACAGTCCCCAACACCTTTCTTTATTAGTCCCCTGTCCCAGTATGGATTTAATTTGCAACCTTCGGCTACAAATGATAGTAGTGATGCTTGGGGGGGGGGAGGCGGGGGTGACCATATTCCTTTTTGTGAGCTGGTAGGAAAGGCTGCCTTCTTTCCTTTCTCTCCACAGACTCTGTGTTGTCAGATTGTCTTAGCAGGGACAAGTCCAACTTCATACTGGGCTTTTCCCCATTTGCTTGCTTATCTGCTTACTTGCAGATACTTCCAGGTTTAGATATTAGTTGATTCTTGGAAGAGTACAAAGAAGAAAACCACCCTCAGTCTTACATCTCAGAGAATATACTATTGATAATTTTGGGTCATAGCCACCAGTCTTTTTCTTTCTTTTTTTTTT